AACGAGCACACAGTTCACCTAATGGTAAGTGGTTACTGTGGCCCACAGACATCTACATCTATCCTCGATTACGAATCAAAATGCAGATGCGTTGTCACCCGTGAGGACTAAGATGAAATGCCTCGTTTCCTTTAAAAAGGGTCTCTGGTTCTCTACACTCACTATACGAAACACAGCATCATTAAGCTACTATTTTACGCTGATGTTCTATGAGAGCGTGGTCCTTCCCCGGTCGAGCCGACCCATTCGTGCTACAACTATACTTCTAATATAACTGCATGGTTCTACCACATATAAATGATGTGATTCATTTTTTTCATTTTAAAATTGTCCTCGTAATAATTTGATTGTAAATAAATGTTCATTATTTGTTTTGATAAATAGCTTATCGATTAAAACAAATATTAAAAAATAATTAAATCGCGCTAATTAAAGTAGTAGTTGAAATTAGCACTAAAAGGCTAATAGGGGCACCACTCTACAAAGCGTGAATATAAAATTTAAATCAGGTGCGTGTAATCACTCCTTCCCCGGTCGAGCCGACCTTCGTGCTGCAACTATACTTCTAATATAATTGCATTGTCAAATGCCTGTTAAGGCATTGTTAAAATAAGTGATTTTGCATGCATACTGTGCTTTTCTAATAAAATTAATAAATTACGATACAATTTTCCGAGATCGAATAAGATCGATTTAATGCAATATGATTAGATTAAATCGTGAATCGATTCACGAGGTTATGATCCGTTACGACCCAGAAGATCGATTAAAAATAAAAAATCAGACATCCCTAACGGATACGTATCTATGCATCATATTAGTTAATGATTTCTTTAGTTTCCTCTCAAAGAATCAATGTTTGTCAAAGAATAATTTCAGCTTTACATTACAACAAATTCTAAGAAACAAAAAATACGAGTAAATTATTAAATAATATAACACCGAGTATGGTGTCAGCTCAGATTTAATGTTTTAAATTAATTTGAAGTGATGTGATATGATAATTAATGTACTTATTAGGTATGTATTTATGTATAGATACAGTAATATAACCTGTTAATAAAAAGCTAATTTACATAACAAACACATATATTGATTTATTTTACAAAAAGAAAAAATAAAACGATGGCTTCGGTTCACCCGATCCCTAGAATAGTGACCGCTAAGTCCTCTCCAACTACAGGCCTTTCGCCATCACCTCCTTGTTCTCCAAAATAATGGAGTGCATTATAAACTGCCAATTCATGAGGTTCCTTGAGGATCACCAGCTGATTAGTGACTGCCAATACGGTTTTCGTCGTGAGCGATCAGCCAGTGATGTTCTGGTCTACCTGACTCATAGATGGGTAGAAGCCTTCGATTAAGTTTGGCACAAAGCGCTTCTTTCGAAGCTCCCTTCCTATGGGCTTCCCGAGAAATTGTGCAATTGGATCACCAGTTGCCTTACTGATCGGAGCATCAAGGTCATAGTAGACGGTGCATGCACTGATTACAAGCTTATTAACGCTGGTGTTCCAATGTCAGCAATCCGGCAAAAGATTCTAATGACTGAGAAAATCCTAACCTATGATTGGGGTACTGACATCTGTGATGACGAAGTTCCAATAAAAATCTCGTCTTATTCCAAAATTGAGATGGTGAGAGATGCTGCTGTTAAGCATTGCTGCTGCAGGTTATAATAAAGCTGCCGTTTGCTACGCTACGATCATAATCACTACTCGTAGAGCGGATTTAGATCAATTAATATCAATATATTCTTTATTGTACACTAATACACATAAGTAAGAGACAAAATAATAAATATATATATATATATATCTTATATGTATAAATTACGTGTCAAGTTGTTTGTCCGCGATGGACTCCTAAACTACTTAACTTTAATTATAATCAAATTTCCACACCGTGTTCAGATTGGTCTAACTTGAGAGATAGGATATTTGCCATGACTGACCCACAATTTCTTTAAAATATATATTATATATATATATATATATATATATATATATATATATATAACCCAACTCTTGTTTAGCAAAGAACTGTTGATTACAGCGAATTGCAAATGGGGCAGGTGTACATAAATTTGAAAATTAAGTTTAAAAAAAATTACTTATAAATATATAAATACACAAAAGAGAATATGTAGGATATAATTGAGGACGGGAATTGTGATGGAAAATATTAGAGTTCCAAGTAATGACATTTGAGTAGATTTTTGAAGGAAAAAAGGGACTAAGCAAGTCGAATATATAAAGGCAAGGAGTTCCACAAGTGTACAGCTACGGAAAATGAGTTATTGAAAAAAGAGGATGAATATGCTGGAATATGAGGCAAAAAATTGTTAGTGAAACGAAAATGACGATCGTGAGAGGAGGAAATGAATTCAAAACGGTCTTTCAGGTTACATGGAGTGGAGGGATTGAACAGTATGCTGTATAAAGCAGAAAGAATGTGTGTATTCCTGCGAAGGCGAATCGGCAGCCATTTGAGACATTTACGAAATTCTAAAATGTGATCATATTTACGGAGTCCGAATACGACTCATGATATGTACCTATGGTTGATATGAGAACAATTTTCTTATATATATGAGTATGCTAGGGTTGAATTTGAATGACAGAGAGATAAATGTGGTATGCAAGATGATGTTGTGACCAGGATTAAGAAAGGAATGCTTCGGTAGTTTGGTCATGTAGAAAGAATGAATGAGGAAAGAGTGACAAAGCAAATTTATACGGCAGATGTGAACGGCAGAGTCGGGAAGGGACGCCCTAGAAGAAAGTTTATCGAACAAATTGGCGATATATTGAAAATTAGAAGTACCCTTAACCGACGAGCATGTATGCGTAGATATATGGATGTAAAGGAGGCGAAAGAGGTATGTCAGGATCGTGCCAAATGGAAGTCCGTAGTCTCTGCCTACCCCTCTGGGTGACAGGCGTGAGTGTTTATGTTAAGTTATATGAGATGTTTGGTCGGTAGCAAAAAGTCGGCAGCTGGGTGGAGCAAAATCAGTTGCCGTCTCTACTGACTGTTGTTGCGGTTTTAATGTAGGGAGCCGTCCAGTTACTGGATCTCACACATTTAGTGGCTTTTTTGTGGAACCTGTTATGGTACCAACATAATTTTACTGACTTAGCAGGTGAAGTGGTACGTGAGAGCCGCCCGTTAAAAGATGCGGATGCAACTTTATTTGCCAATTCGGTTACTTTTTGTACTAAGGCTTCGAGAGTAGATGATGTAGATGGAGTTTCACAGGAAAAAAATCAATTAGTTCTGACAGCTTGTCTAAGCCACAGTTGGGGTGTGAGTCTAGGATAGCCGGAACTTGCTGTGGAAGTCAACGAAGTCAAAGTAGACGGAATATGTTTTCATCAAATAAAGCGCACAAGGATGCCGGAAAACTGGGATGGTCGTCTATCACCGAGTTCCTCCTCCCTAATGAGCTGCCTTACCCGCTGCTCCTCAGACATAGAAAGACTCATTATCAATTCTTCCTTTAGTTTGATGTACCTTTGTCTTATGTCTGGAGGTCTAGTAGTTATATCTTCTACTTCTTCAGCAATTTTCTTATCTAATTAAGCAATCATATAATTGAAATTAGTTATTTCTGATGTGACGCCGGAAATCTGAAGCCGGCCAAAAGGGTTGTTATTTAACAGAAACCTTGCACACATCAGAATTAGTATTTTCATCTAGCTGTTGTTGAAGAGCAGCAGTCAGCGTTTCGAAAAAACTTTTCATTGCAGGTAACAATTCGACTCAACATTCCTTCTGTTACATTGTCAGTGCATCAGGTAATATTGTTTTAAAACTTATACAAAATGGCGACGCTAGTTTAGTCGTAGTTTTGCTATTTAAGGTAAGTTGTTTCTACGTCGTAACAAATATTCAATAATTACGAATTTTCTATCCATCGTATAAATGAAACATATTGTAGAAAAAACACAAAATCAAAAGAAATAAATGGATAACTGATTTTGAAAGCAACAACATGCCATAAATATAAAATGAATAGCGGTTTCTAATTGGTCAAAAGGTTATTACCCTTCAAAGCGACCAATTAAAACAAATTGCAAATTTTATAGACCTAATAATAACTTTCGTACATATAAGCACTTTCTTGACTAACAACAACTAGTTTTACCTACAAAATAAAATTGCTTTAATTGATTGGTCGAATAAACACGATATTTACTATGCTAACATTTAGTTAAAGAGTAGAATATGCCTTCTTATTGTGCGAACACTTCATGCAATTCACTATTTTAACTATATAAATTAAACCATTATCAAACCATATTATACTTATTTTAAAATAATTCGCTATTTTACTTGTATGTCATGGAAAATAATTTCGAGTATAGTTGTTCCAAAAAAGTTGCGTCATTTGTATAAAGCTTTTTATCAATACCCTAGATATTAAATACATAATCATTATAGGATATTTGATATAATTGATTTATCTTAAAATGTAAATCAAATGAACAACGTTTAAATAAAATAAGCTGTACTCTTTGATTACAGCTGATATGAAATTAAAAATATATTTAGATAAATATACTTCTACACTATATAGTAGATAACATTTATTAAATTGGGCAGTCAATTACTTGATTTTATGTATTAAAGTACTTGCGATATAAATGTTTGATAAAATGAAAACGAACGTGATACAAAGTTTAATATTGAGTGTAATATTATATCAGTGTAATAAAGTGGAATCGTTAAATATTTTAGGAGTTTTTCCATATCAAGGGAAAAGTCATTTCTATGTATTTGAGCCTTATTTACATGAATTAGCGCAAAAAGGCCATAACGTAACTGTAATTTCATATTTTCCTCAAAATAAACCAGTCAAAAACTTTCATGACATCAGCTTAGCAGGAAAATCCATAATTTTCGAAAATATTATACCATTTGTTCGGCCATCTTTTTTTAGTAATATTTTAAACGGTTTGGGTTTAGTGTATTTAGCCATAGATAACTGTGAAAAAATGCTTGATGATGAAGATGTACAGCATTTATGGAAGTCAAAAATGAAATTCGATGTGGTCGTAGTGGAACAGTTTAATAGTGACTGCGCCTTGGGTCTGGCATACAAGCTGGGTGCTCCCACTGTCGGTATCACATCGCATGTTTTAATGCCCCATCACTACAATCGTTTCGGCATTTTGTATAACCCATCATACGTTCCATTTTTATTCTTGAGTGGAGGAACCAAACCTAGCCTGTTTCAAAGGGTAGAACGCTCATTTTTTTATCTTTACTTTAAATTTATTTACAATTATATAACGCAAAGAATCGATCATAAAATACTATCTGAACATTTTGACGATATTCCTCCACTAGAAGAATTAGGTCGTAATATAAAATTTTTACTTCTTTATAATAATTTTGTATTGACAGGAACAAGTATTGTACCTGCCAATATTATTGATGTAGGCGGATATCATGTTGCGAAACCAAAACCACTGCCCAATGTAGGTATACTATGTATATCAATACTATCAAACATTAACAACAATATATATAAACAAATTAGTATCAATAATACTTTTGTCCCATAGGAACTGCAAAAATTTATCGAAGAATCACAGCATGGTGTTATTTATATCAGTTTTGGGTCAATGCTACGGGCGGCATCGATACCAAAAGATAAATTACAAACAATTTTGGATGCTCTGGCAAAGCTTCCCCAAAGAGTCATTTGGAAATGGGAAGCAAAATCTCTTCCAGGCAAACCTAAAAATATATTTTTATCGAAATGGTTACCACAAAATGATATTTTAGGTGAATTTTCTACGTTCAAATTTTAAACTTATTAGTTTGCATAGTTATCGTTATGATGTTTTGAAATTATTTTGCAGCGCACCCAAATGTTCTCGCTTTTTATTCTCACTGTGGACTATTAGGAACAACAGAAGCTGTATATCATGGAGTTCCCATAATAGGAATGCCAATGTTCGGAGACCAAGCTACGAATGCTGGCGCCATAGAAGAAAGCGGCTTTGGAGTAAAAATTAATTTGGAAGATCTCACAAAAGATAATTTACTACAGAAGTTTAAGACAGTTTTAGATCCTAAGTAAGCATAACGTGGCTCATATAATTATTTTATGTTATTAAAAATGAGAAAGAAGTAGGAGGCCTCACACGCTGGTCGATGTGATAAAATGCAATTGCAAGGCTTTGGCTATTGATATATCTACAGAGTTTCTCGCCGGTTCTTTTTCAGAAGCTGTTGTTTCAGCGATAAACTAAAAACAAGCCTAAAGAGTAATAAGTAATAAGTTTTGACTTAGACTGCAGAACAAAAACCTGCATTTTATTCTGTGAAGTTTATACATGGTAGAGCCATGCTGCAGTTATATTAGTAGTATAGTTGTAGTACGAATGGGTCAGCCTGACCGGCGAAGGACCACGCTCTCACAGAATACCAGCGTAAAATAGTAGCTTAATCCTGCTGTGTTTCGTATGGTGAGTGTAGAGAACCGGAGACCAATTTTACAGGAAATTAGGCATTCTATCTTAGCCCTCACGGGCGACAACGCATCTGCATTTTGATTCGTAATCGAGAATACATGTGTCTTTGGGCCACAGCAACTACTTACCATCAGGTAGTCTGTGTGCTCGTTTCGTAATAAAAATATAGAGCGTAGAATCCATCTTGCTGCACCAATCAGGATGGAATGGCTTCACAGGTCCTTTATACATATATTTTATTTCATTTATAGGTACCCTTTTATTATATACACAGAGAATAAAAATATTGCAAATACCATCTAACTACATCATTATTACATACGATCTTCAGCTACTTGCATCGAACGACTTCCTGCTTAAGGGATGCACTAGGTCGTCACTCCTCCTAATGGTGGGGCCGCCCTACACTTCGTTTATCGGAACAAACGGAACGAAGGAGAATTAAAATAATTATGATATCAGTCTTATCACTCAAAAATTATCTTACTGACATACATGTGGTGAAAGGGATTTATATAATTGAAAAAATAGTCTGTCTTTGTAATATTGCAGTGACAAACAGGCTCACATTACACATGATAATAAATGGCTAGAGCAAACCTTGAACACCTGTCTTGCCTTGCCACCATCTTTTAACAAAAATGTGTCACACATAGATAATAATATCCTCCAATAGAGCATAGTAGCATTTCTTTCACGTAGTTTGATCTTAAAGGACACTAGCCCCTGCGCAGGACAGCAGTATATGTACTTGTAAAAGTGGGTACGCAAACGTAGGTACACTCACTACCCTTACTCGCATAGTTCATTATGACGGTAATCCGACACGCCCAAAGAGAGATTAGGCGCGGCATCACTGTTTATCCTAAATGCCTTTAATAATATCCTTTAAAAGATAATCAATATAGAAAAATAATACTTTTGATTTTATCTAATTTAGTCTGAAGCCAGAGATCAGAACGAAATTATTCAGAGTTCCTTTTCCTTGATATCGAAACTCTGTAAATGTAAGTGTGCGCTCAATAGGTTCAGGAATCAAGAAACAAAATATTATATAACGTAACAAGTAAAAATATGTTATTTGGAGCGTTTAATCGCATCTTAAAAATAATACAACGGACGGCATTCAAAGACAATCTCGAGCTTACAAGGGCGCGGGGTTGGTACGGTGAACATTAGTAAAATAATTGTTGATTATTTATCTGTATAGTTTGTGTGAGTTTACTGAGTAAAAAATGTACATGCACGAGTACTGTCATTTAGTGTTCACAACTAGCGCTGCTATTTATATTTTGCCAGACAAACTCTGAGTTTAAGTTCACACACGAGATTGTCTCTGAATACCAATACCTCCTTATACTATTATCTGATAATCTTTTTTTGATTAATTTACCTATATTTTCCAGCTTCCGAGCAAATGTAAAACTGCTATCACAAGCTTGGCACGATCGACCAATCTCAGCTATGGAGAGTGCAGTATATTGGACAGAATTTGCTGCCCGATATCACAATTTCACATTTAGAACACCAGCTGCGGATGTACCTTTCTATCAGTATATGTTACTAGATATATTCTTTATCTTATTTGTAATGCCCCTCCTAACTCTTTTTATATCTATGTACTATATATACCAAGTTTGTTTACAAAGAAAATCGAGACCAAATGGGAATTCGAAAAAGAATCACTAAAGTTACTATAATATACCTACATTTATTTTATTAAATTGTTACAGACTGAAAATATTTTTCTTACCTTTTTAATATTTTTAAAAGTAAAACCTCTTGATATACGAACAAATACCAGACACCCTAAAACTGTGATGGAATAACACAGTAGGTAATATAAGTTTGAATTTTCTGTAATTACCTTTGGCAGTAGCTGCTCCTAAAGTATCTTAATCCAGTGGATTGCCAATTAATTTAGGATTATTTTTTAAAACAGTTGTCCCATGTATTAGAGGTTACAAGACTAATTGATATTGACAATGTCTAGGCCTCTCCTCGCCTGACAGATATGCATTCTGTAGCGCAGCCTCCACGATTATATATACTAGAGTTAAGTTAAATAATTAAAGTTTTAAACTGAATAACACGTCTCCTTTTTATTGAACACCGTCCAATATTACATGGCGACCCCGTTAGGTAGTGCGCTGCGACAATGGACTTGGAAACGCACCGCTGCGGCCTGCAAATTAATTTCAATTAAAAATTCTTATTAAAACCAACTTAATAATAATTAAACGGTAATGACGTCACACCTTTCCTAAATCACAACACTAATAACACCCGACGCGACTAGAGGAGAAAAAAAAGAATATGATGACTATAACAAATACAAAAAAGAAAGTGACGACAAATACATGAAGAGGCCAAAATAATAATTAAATTTTATAGAAGTTGACTGAAATATTAAAAAGAATGTACGAAGACAACAAACAAAAAATGAGGAAAATAAAATGTGATTTTTTTATGCAATTACCCAAGACTAAAATTCGAGAAACGGCAGATTACTTTAAAAAGGAAAGAAGCGGTTGTACCATAGCTAACTTCACTCAGAAAAATATGAATATTGAGCCGAATAAAACAAAGAAGAAATTAAGAGAGGTAAATTTGCTCCAGTGTGATATTTAATTCTACATAAAACTTCATTACTTCATTGAATTGATTGACCACATACTCGTACTTCACGTTTCAGTAATTTCCCCTTCTAACCTAACATGTCCGAGTCGGGGTGCCCCACGTCCCAGGACGCTTCGCTCGCTATTGCACTCAATATAACACTAAAATATTAACTTTTATAACTACTTTAATTTATAAACATAATTTATGGCTGCCACCAAATGTAAGAAAGGATCCTTGCGATATTTAGCAGTATTCCGCCGAATATTTCACTATTCCCAAAATTCTGAAACTCGGAAGCAAAGCAACGGCATTACGAAAAGCTGTCAACAAAATGGCCGGCCTAGAGATTAATTTTACACATTTTTAAATCGATTCGAATCGAAATTGGATGAATCGATTCACAAAAAAATCGAAATCTTACAGATCGATTTCACAAAAATCGATCTTTTTTTTTGATTTGCGTTAAAAGTTTATATGTATTTACAATATCAAAAGATACAATAAAGTACTAGGTACTTAAAAACTGTCATTCTTTACGAGTTGGGGTACATTCAACTAATTGTAAATAATTTGATAAATCTTAATAAAACGTAAAAAGATTCGATCTCGATTCTCTAGGGTGAAATATCGATTCACTAGATTGATTCAGTACTATATATCGATATGACATTGACAAAAGAAACGTCAAAAACGTGAGAATATTTAATTAATTAGTCATTTACCAATATTTTTAAAAAATAATTAAAAATACTTCGACGCTGCTCCGGCAGCAAAAATCACGTGTGGGTGCTTCAGATAAGCCCCCTTGATCCCCTCACAGTGACAGAATCTTTAAATTCAGGCAACCAAATTGTAAACCCAACCCTTTGAATGTAGTAGAGCTAATGAGATGTCCTTAGAGGATAAAAAGGAGACCAAAGATATTTTATAAGTCCAGAGAGTACCACATGACGCTCATATCTTACGTACCATGCCTGCATTAATGTGCGTGACTTCGGTAATAATAGTGCGAATCGATTACCCAAAAATGTGGGAGATTTTATATTTCATTGATATTGACGTACCTATTGATACTACGAACATAAAATGTGTGTGCGAGGCGTGTTCATTTGTGTGCGTGTGTATGGGGATATAATAATAATAACAATAAATACCTTTATTTCTCAAAAATTAAATATACATGTCTTTGAGACGCCCCAGAGAGTAATTTCCATACTCGTATTGGGGAAAATGGGGATGAATAAGGTTATGATTGATTATGTGTTTTTTATGTAGGTACGAACATCGCATTAAAATATTAAAGATAAGTAATAAAACCTGTAATTAATGTAACAGTTAAAAATAAATAAAAAGCACAGTAGATATTTATCTATGTAAATGTAATGTAAAAAATGTAAATGACGGTTCTGAGTGACTAAAAAGGATAGAAGCACAGGATAATACGATTCCGTGCTGTCAAATGTTATTCAACCCTAAGCCTTAAAATAGTTTAACTCTATAGGTTGGTTAAAGCCTGTAAAATTAGACCGTTTAAAACCCCTATACAGTTAACCTTTTCGGTCGATCACGACATTAAAAAATGGGAATAACATTTTATAGACTAGGCAACACTCGGATATTATTCCATGGTATTAATACTTGTATTGACATTAATTTAGCTTTCGTATTGTTTTACAAATACACCAGAATATTGTGTATTTAGTTATGAAAGATGATGTTCTTATCTTTATGTTTTTTCCAAGAGCATTTTTTGCATAATTTCACAGCGGAAACAGTCATTTTGCAATTCAGAAATTAAAAACACCGGTGCGTGACGTATGTTCGCAGTGAACATCCCTGGCGTAATGACCTCCGATAGGAGTAATAGTGTTCTGTGGTAATGACGGCACCATCGAACGAATACGCCAATATTGGCGCCTTTTAAATGGAAGCGTTTTAAGCGCGCGTACACGGTATCTGTGGGTATCTGCACCTATAAAACATCTTTGAAGGAGAGAATAAAAAAAGATAGGTTGCTGCAACACATATATTAAAAAAGGTCACTATGCTAATATAAATGTAAATGGTTTATTAGATGTTTATCATGTAAAAAAGACACTATGTGATTTCATGTCCAGGAATTAATAAGAAAGAAAAGAGTGGGACATCGGAAAATGTTTCGTTATGTGCCAGAACTAATATGACAATTTAGTTACAAACACTCGTTGTCAATATCACTTATAAAGGAAAAATAAATAAGTTGAGAGTTTTGTTAGATAGTGGTTCGCAAAGATCGTACGTACTGTTATACCCCGTATTTGTTAGCCTTATTGCTGCACTGCCCCTTAATAATGTCGACTTAGCCTTAAGGTTCAGTGAATATAGCAGTGGAGCAGTTCGGCCAAGTCAGTCTGCTTCCATCTTCGAACCTGCTCGGTTGTCTACGGACCTTAGTTAATTTCCAACCAGTTTGTAATATTTAATTCATTTATACTCAATTAAATTTCAGTGTTAAATAAATCTTTTTTTTAAAAACCTATTAGCCCGTCTCCGTATAACATTTTGGTGGCAGCGGTGGGATACGGAAATCATCAGTGCCAAGTGAAGTGGAACCGCTCAGCAGACTCGCTCCGTATCCTAAATTTTATAAAATTAAATATTATCCTGTGTCGTCCCGGCGCGTCCTAGTGAAATAAATATAGTGCAAGTGCTATACCCGTCGCTACGGCCTGGACGTCCATCCATTACGGAGACCCAATTGATTCCTGGAAGGGAATCCACATAATTACCAAAGAAGAGCCGCGATTGCATCCTGAACCGCAATCATCAAGAAAATTAGACTGAAAACATCCATTCTCATAAAATAAATATCGTCAGATATTTATTATTATATTATCAATAACTAGAATTCATCGAGTTCCGTTCCAGTGCGCTAGAGAAGACGCGCCTATCATCGGAATGTTCCCGCTTATCGTCGCAGCCGTCGCCCACGCATTCTTAATACTGTGAGTCGTTGGTCATTGTTTTGTCTAGACTGTATAAGCCAAAGTTTCTCAACCTTTTATGTTCCTTTGTTCAGTTGAACTTAAATGTTTTAAAATTTATTAATATTCTATTTTTGTGATTGTTCTATATTATTGTGTGTTCTATTCTGATTATTTTATATTTTTTTTTTGTGTTCTTTTGTATTTGTTTTGCATTATTGTTGCGTTTTCTTTAGATTTATACATATTTTATTATGCCAAAATTAGTTAAAGGGGAAGAAGCCAGTCTAGCCTTCGAATTCTCAGAACCGGGTGTTAGCGACGCCCCGAAATCCACCCCAGCTACTCCAAGAGTCACTAAGGCCAGCATTGCAACTACTGCAATGACCGAGATGGATTTGAACACCTTATTTAAGTTCATTAAACCATATGACGGTAGTAGGGAGACCGTAAATTCTTTCATAATTAATTGTAACAATGCTTACGAATTAGCCTCAGAGTCTCAGAGACAAATTTTATTTAAATATATCATTAGCCAGCTTCAAGGTAAAGCGGAAATTGCCTGCTCTATAAAAGAGTTTAAAGATTGGGAACAGCTCAAAGACTTTTTAAAGACACAATTCAGTGAACGTAAACACTACGCTCACATTCTCACTGAATTACAGGAGAGCAAGCAAAATCCACATGACAGCGTTAACCAATTCGCACTCCGTATAGAGACCTGCCTCTCACAGCTATTAACGGAAATATCCCTATGCAACACCAAAGCGAAAGAGTTACCAGGTAGGGTTGCGGCCATGGAGGACCTCGCTCTGCATCATTTTCTTATGGGGTTACACCCCCGAATTTCAAATATCGTTAGATGTAGGTCTCCAAAAACGCTTAACGAAGCCATAAATTTAGCCATCTCAGAAGAGCGAATCCAACAGAGCCTTTATAAACGACCACCGCCAGAAACAAGGTATGAACAAAAACCTAAACAAAATTTTGTTAAATCTTTTAATTCCAAACCAACCATTCCTCAAAAATACTCACAATATCCTAATATGAATCAACAGAGCTCGCCTAACGCTTTCTGCCGATATTGTAAGACGGCGGGGCATG